CTGCTGAACTTAAATATGATCTTTTTAAAATACAGTAAGTGTGAAGTTTGAAACATACAGTTTTTAAAAGCTGGGAAGCTGGGTGGTGTAGTCATACGTTTTCAGTTCAATGCTTTCCATTAAAATGATAGATGTGTATCACTGAAGCTTGCGCTATGGTAAGGCACTACAGATAGTGGATTGTTGCCCCTTGGAGTGATTTTTTCACTTCAGATGCTGTAGTCTGAATCTTGCAGGTAAGACTGGCTGACAAGCACCAGTAAAGCTGTTGGTGAGTTGCTGCAGCATTGATAGAAGAACAGAGTATAGATAGCAAATGTAATTTTCAGTGTCTGAAAATGAGTAACAAATACTCTACAGTTTGAATTAAATCTTATAAAATAAGACAGTAATTCTAGTCTAGGTTTACTACTTCCAGGAAATTTCTTTTTTAATCTATGGATGTATCAAGAAATGTTAACAGATGTTGCAAAGTCCATAGAACAATGTTATTTAGAAAAATATATAGGAGAACATAATACACACTGCACACTTGCTGGCAAAATTCTTTGATGTTATATATGTGTGTGTAAGGCAGTTTCAGCGATTTGAAATTTGGTACTGCTTTTAATAAGTATCAGTAAGAGAGCTTAATAGAAAATGTGAACATCATGGAAATTCTTATGCTACACAGACTTTAAAGAAATTGTTTCCATCTCTTACTTAGAAGTATATTTTCCATTGGAAGCTTTTGTTTCTTAGATATGTTTTAATTAAACAAACAAAACTTGTCGAAATTTAACAGTTTCAGACTATGCTAGGTCATAAATTACAAGTATGTGGGTTTAGGCGCTTTGAAACAGTCTCAGATTGATCATCTTGGTTTCCTCAGCAGTCTGCAACTCTGAAAAGTTGATCTAGTTTTCAAGGTTTGGGGGTGGGAGTGAATTCTTTATTTCAATAGCTTTAGAAGGTATGTTGTTACTTTCTTCAATGAGATCACATTCTTGTAACACAATTCTTCTGAACAAATATCCTATGATAAAATTTTGCTAACTTGTTGAAAATATAGGTTTGTATGGGTGTTTATGCATGGCCTAGGAAAAACTCATGGTTTCACGTCAATTTATGTGTCTTGTTTCATATGTCTAGAGAAACCATGTGTGTTTGGGTAGAGGGAATGTAGACTTAAGTCTTAGTAAAACAGAAATTGGAAAACAAGAGCTTGGAAATATTTTGTGGATAATTTAGTGAGTTTTTTGGTAAAAGTGAAATAGTTCATGCAAAACTGAGAAAACATCATTGCTCTTATTTGGAAAGGGTTGGGGAAATACATTGGGATGAACCAAATTTGGATTTCCACACACTTCTTTGAAGTGAGTCTAAACATTAGGAGATGTCTGCTTAAGTTTTGTCTCATTTTTACCCTCTGTCTGAGCAGTATGAGTGTAGGGCATCTGTTAATGTTCATGTTTATACTAACAAACTAAGGGCCATGACAAGGATTGAACACTGCCTCATGGTGGTCTGCACTGTGTAATTGTTAGTGTACTCTCTGATATTATTTTGCTATTTAGTGCTCTCCCAAACAATTTTCAGACTCAGTACAGTGCCCAGCTCATTACAGGGACCATCCAATAAACAAGTTAAATGCAAGCACTCCGTTTTAGAGGAACAGGGAGAAGAGTTTAGCTGTGTGGACACAGGCTTTACTTTTTTTTTTTTTTTCTACAGGAATGACCTTTCTTCATGTTGTAGATGTGGTTCGTGTTGTAGATGTGGTTCGTGTTGTAGATGTGGTTCGTGTTGTCTCTCTCAGTTCTGTTTTGTATTCACTGAGAAAGAAACCAGTGTACAGTCCTTCTGCAGAAGCCATTCTGACACATTTGGTGCTGGAGCCGTGACCTGATGCAGTATGTCTGGACTACTTTCCTGGGGTACCTCCTGCAGCTACTGCTTCTTTGTTGCTCTCTAGGGGAGAGGTAGGAAAGGTGGCAGGGGATAGGAAAGGAGAGGTCAGCAGCAGGCGTGCTTGTAAGCAGTTCCTGACACTTCCTCTGTTTCCTACTCCCAGCATTGTGCTCTGGCAGCATTTGTCTGAACCCTTCATTTCTGGTACTCCCAGATACTGTGCCAGTACCTGTGCCCACTCCTTTCTGTCCCTGATCCACGCTAAGTGCCGTGCACTTGCTAAGTGCTTAAGTCAGACAACTTGGACCTGAGATAGTAAACTGAAAACACATAAAATGAAACACCTTTCATTTGTGGTCAGTAGCTTTCTGAACACATCACTTTGGGAAAGACTTTGTCCAGAGTAATTTTGTCTTTACTCCTACCCCCATGCCACTTTATTAGGGGTCTGGTTGACTTAGTGGGACAAAAAAAGATGAGAAGTAGACTGGAGCATGAAAATTAAAAAGTCAACCCCTCCCCAAAAGTATTCAGTTACAAAAATACTGGAAGTAGTTTTCAGCCTCCTTTCATTTAAAAACTAAACTAGTGGTCAAGGTCTGAGCGAACTTAAGGGTGGATTGTTCAAAAAATGTATCTTTGAATCAAGTTATTTCATAATTTTGACAGTTATATGTGGATGTTTAGTTTTTTCCAAGCAGACTTCTCTCCCCACTGCAGTGTGTCTTCTTGGTGTTTATTTTTCTAACTTCTGTAGAAAAATGTAAAATAATGCTTATTATAGCAATAACCAAATTCTGTCGTCTTACTAGAGTGCAAGTGGGTGCAGCCAAGTAAAGCTTTTCTTCAATATTTTTGTTAGAAGAGAAAAGGAATTAGTTGGCAGCTAGCATTAGATTTTGTTCTCATATTTTCCAGTCTAAAGTAACTGGCAACAATTCCTCTTGCTCTGTATCATCTATTTGCTGGCCGTAATGACTATATAAGGCAACGCTGCCTAAATTAATAGTTCTGAACATACTTGTTTAATGAGTTTACCAGTCTCGTATCTGGGAGTAATGCATGAAGTTTTTGATGCTGCAAGAGTTCTTACTTTGTATGAAACTTTTAAAATACCGTATTTTGTTGTTGTTATTGTGAAGAAGGTACTAAATGTTTCATCAGCTTCTAAAATATGTCCAAATATGTAAAAGATTTCAAGACAGGGATATATATGCATTCGAATGTTTTGAAGGAGTCTTTTAAATCTCTGAGCTTCAATGCTAGAAAGATAGCATTGTGT